ATTGTATAAAATCCCTTATTAAAATTATACCTATTTTCATTAGCTCGTGAATCGTAAGAGCTCAATTTCTTATGGCTAGCTAGGTGAAAGCTTTCCATTCTTTGTAAAATTGGCATTGCCAAAGCTTTTTTATTTGTGTCAGACTTAGTTGTATGAGATCTATTTAATTCTATATGTTAAGGGACTTAACCAAAAATTCTTCTAAGGAATTAAGCTCTCACAGGCCTATTTAGAAAATAATAAGAACTACTTAAAGCAGCTTCGAGTTCCATAAATTGGTCAACTATAAAATATTCTACATTTTGGGATTTTAAAGTAATACTTCCTAATGTATTGTTTTTTTAAGAAACATTCACATCTTTATTATTACAACATTCTCTACATGTACACTAACAAAAAAACAAAAAAACCAAAAATAAAAACGAGAGTATATCCAAAAAATACAGAAACAAAAAACAAACCTACATCTATCAACTATCTACTAAATACACAATGGTCATCTCTGTAGCCACACACCTGCTTTTGCAAGAGCCTCTGCCTCCATATTACATTCCCAAAACACATGTAAAAAAGTACAATCCATATTCAAGCAGCACTCCAATAGCTCCCTTATATCCTGTTTGGCCCATTTGATAGCATTTAGTGAATCCCCTTCAATTACTACTGGTTTATTAAACCTTTTAGCCAGTTTAGTACTTTCCAACATTGCGTGTATTTCTTCTTAATTTATCATAGTAACACCAAGATGACCAATTTTTTTTACAAGAACTCTTCCTTGACTATCTCAAATTAAGCCTCCCATACCTGTATTTCTTGGATTACCTAGGTGTCGTTTGGGTACCTGAAAATCTATTACAGTGAAACATATTAAAAGGAAATATGAGATTTACCATGTTTAGGTACACTTCAGCCATACAAAAATAGAAATAAATTCACAAGATTTCTCCAAAATACGTGAAACCTATAACGAATAAGATGGATGTGAAATTCATTGTGCTTAACTGGTAATCTAACTACGCGCCTCTTGCCCAAAAAAATTCTCTATCTCCCGCCATTTTCTCTCTCCTATACACATCCATTCTCTTGTCATTCTCTCTCTCCTACGCACATCTATTTCTATTTTCTCTCTCTAAACTCCACTTATAAGTGTTTGCGCATCATGCGCACATCCATTTCTACACTCTCCTATGCACATCCAATTCTACATCACTCTTCAAGCCCTTGAATCAATTTTAAGTATTTTCTGTATTGTTTTTAATTTTTCTCATCAATACAAAAGGGATTTGGATTGATGAGTTGTTGCAAAAGATTTCTCAAATTTCTTCATTAGATAAAGACTGGACCTCATCAATCTAAAAGAAATAAATTATAATGATTTCTAAATCTTCTTTGAAAAAAAAAAGAATGATTTTTTTGGGATTAGGATTTAGATTGAGACAAAAAAGTGATGAATTATATTTTATTTAAATTATAATGATTACTCTTAAAAAAAAAGAAAGATTTTTTGGGATTAGGATTTAGAAAAAAATGAAGAAGTGATAAATTACTTACAATGTATTAGCCTTCTTTTTCTTTTTTCGCATTGGCCTCCTTCAATTTCTCAATCTAATTTTTAAAATACTTCATCATTTCATAATATATTTTAAAAAAAAATACATCACCATTTACTATTTAAACTACAAACGATATATTTAAAGGTCGTGACTAAAATAGTTCACTCAATGTTTATGACAAATATTAATTCACACTATTAAGTTATTATTCTTTGAGGCATGACAAGTATGGTATAGTCATGCTATCTGTACATATGCATTTCAATATTAAATAAGAATGACTACAAAGAGACCATTTATCTTTTGTGAATGGATATCACAATCATTCTCAAATATTAGATGTCAATGACTTGAGGTGAGTCATCAAGTGAATATTTTTTTTTTTTTTGTATTTATTCAATGACACTAGTACCACCACCCATTTTGAAATTTAAAGGACAAGACTGAATGTGTGTACAAAAGATAAATGGTCTCTTTGTAGACAATTCCATATTAAATCGCTATGTCCAGTAAGAGCAATGTAAGAGGTAAGGTGCAATGTAGACAATTCCATAGTAAACCCCTAAGTACAATGTATTTTAGTAAGAGCAAATTTAAAGTGCAAGGTTGACAATTCTATATGAAACCATATAATCTAACTACAATGTATTTCCCATGTTGCATCTAAATACTACCCAAATGATAACAATCCATTTGCAGGTAATGTATTACGCAATAATATATTATGTCAGTAATATATTTCACAGACAATATATTTCCAGGTATCTAACCGACCCCCTAAGGAACTTCCATCAAAATTCACCTTAATCCAACCATCTTTAGGGCATTTCCAAATACCAACACACTTCTCTTTAGGAGAACTCTCTTGAATTAATACGTTAAGGTTATACATCATATCCAACCTTGATACTCCACACCAATTTTTGTTAGTGGTTAACCACTCAAATACTGTGAATCTAATTTTGTCTTGCATCTCTACTACTAATTTTCCAATTCCTTCAAAACATCTCCTATTACGTTCTTTCCAAATTTTCCAAATAACCACAGATCTGACAACCTTTCTTATAATCCTTCCTTTCGTTTCAAGGCCCACCCTCAGCCAGTCACCAAACAAATATTCCATATGCAAAGGAATGGTACCATTTGCTCCAATCATCCCCAAACACCACTGCTAGATAGCTTTTGTAAAGACACATCTTAGAAAGAGATGTTCAACAATTTCTTCATTTTCTTTGCATAAAATACAAACATTCACCGTAATCATATCGTGCTTCCTAGGCATATCGATAGTTAAGAGCCTTCTAAGTTTAAGTAACCATAAAAAAGCCTTTACTTTTAGAGGTATAGGCCACTTCCAAACTTTTCCAACCTCCGAGTCAGACTACCTAATTTGATCATTGAACAACAACTTATACGCAGAACTAACTATGAACAGGCTATTTTCGCTAGGCTCCCATATAACTGTATCTTATATTACTAAGCAATAGAAATGCTGCTGAAGCAATGACAAACATTGAACATACTCATCAAGCACATTCTGATTTACTCTTTTGTAAGAACAACTACTATCCCAAATTGCTTCGTATCCTATACCCACCACCATTTCACTAATCATTTTTCCTTTCGAGTTAATTTTTGTAAATAGATTTGGAAATTGATACTCTAAAGGAATATCCCCACACCATTTCTACTGTCAAAATCTGGGGTTATCATCTTTACCAACCGTACATCGCATATTACTCAGAAAATAAGTTCTATAACCAAGAATCCCCTTCCATATCAAAGAAATCCCCTTCCTATTACTTTATTTTTCCACAATACCATGCTCCTTGTCTTCCCCATAATTTTCCCCTAATATACATCTCTACAACAGCCCATTTCTCTAGCACATCTCCACCACCACTTAGTCAATAATGTACCATTCATGATTTTCAGTTTTTTAATCCCCATACCACCATCACCAATAGGAATACATACTTTCTCCCAATTGACAAAGCTAAATTTCTTCTTGTCCTCACATTTTCCCCTTTCCCCATAAGAATCTCCATTCTCTTAACCACTCTACTGGGCATTTTGTATAAAGACAGACAGTAGATGAGGAGGTTTGCTAAAGATGTCTCAATCAATGTCAACCTACCTCCATGAGACAACAATATGTATTTCCATATATCCAGTTTATACTGTAAGCATTGTATCAAAGGATCCCATAAACTTGCAACCCTATTATTATCAGCTAGAGGCAGCGCCAAATATTTAATTGAGAATTTCCCTATACTACAGTTTATCATCTCTGTAAATTCGAAAACCTTTTGTTCCTCACATGCAATTAGTTGAGTTTTTCTCATGTTAACCTTATGTCCATGTACCATTTCAAAACATCTAAGAAGCCTTTTGAAAGTTATTATTTCATCCTCATTTGCCCCATAAAAAATTAGGGTGTCATCAGCATATTGCAAGTGGGATACCATATATCCATTATCTTTGACTTAAAAACCACTAATAAGTCCTATCTCTACCACCGAGGTTAGCATGACATTGAAAATTTCACCCCATAATGGTGAGTAAAAACGAGCATTGAGGGTCCCCTTGTCGAATAATGCTTTATACTGTATCTTTGCCAAAACCAGTTACTGCTTCACTAAAAATGAGATTAGGCTTAAAGAATTTTTGAAGTAGTTCATTAAATTCAATCTAAGACGATATTGGACCAGAATTTGTTTGTTACCTTATCGCCCACTTGCAACTTCTTGTGTATAACAAGAAGAGGCTTGCAGTAATCAATACTTTTTCATGAGTAAGAGGCTGCCCTATTCGGTGTAAATTTTTCTAATCAGAAGATCATCTTTATGAAGACCATGTTTTCCTTGGATAACAAACTTCCTGAGCAACGGTCTATCATCTGCTACCGACACCACAGTTTATTGAGAAATGCCTCATGTGCTGGCTTAAGCCTCCTAATGCCAATCCTCCAGCGTTATTGGAGTACAAACCAAGTCCCATCCCACAAAATGAGATTTTCTTTTTTTTTTTTTTTTTTTTGAAGTAAGGAAGTTTCTCATTAGTTGTGATTGTCTAGTACTCACAACATTGGGGCCTCTAAACATTGAGAAACAATAAACCAGCTATTGGGTTATGGTTGCCTTGGTGAAAGTTATCCTTCCACCGAAAGATATCCCATTTTCCATGAGTCAAGCATCATCTAAAACCTCTCTGTCATTATATCACAAATTGCTCTTGTCAATCTCCCATTTAGCAAAGGAATTTCCAAATACTTGGTTGGGAGGGACTCTGTCTCACAACCAAACCAAGAACAAACACCAACATTATACATTGTATTCCAAAATCTTTATTGGATATGTGCATTCGAAGTTGGAAAACTTTATGTTAAATGATGTGCCATGTTTGGTAACTTTTTTATCTTTCGATGTGAGATGGGAACCACACGTAAGGAGTAAAGTCATTTAGATCAAATAAGCCAGCTACAGCGATCCGTATAAACATATTGCCAGTACAAATACAACATGATTTACCAGTATGGGATCGTGTTAGTAAGAGCTGTCCCCTAACTAAAAGCTCTCAAGGCAATTGCGCAATGAACCCTCTCTTCTTATAACAGTTTCCCAAGACAAATTCCTAAATGAATGAACAAATTAAAAATTCAACTAGAATTTACTTCACTTTGGCAAGATTGTTCACGGATCCCCCTCCCCCCCTTCTCTCTCACCCACACCCACACCCACACCCACACCCACACCCACACCCATCCACCCACCCACACACACACACACACAAAAAGAAAGAAAATCAAACTGGACTCCCCATTGCACTTACAGCCTACTACCTGACTTCCCAACATCTACGTACATGGCCTATTGTTATGTTACTGTTGCCAGAAAAGGAAAAACAAGAACTGCAGTCATTCATCGAAGTGTCTGAAGATGATTCCATTTTCCATCTTCAAGTTCCATCTCAAATGTATGGTCTCCCTTGTCACACTTCATTACTGATCTTTCTCAAAAAGGAAACACCGAGAAAGGAAAGCCTTTCGAAGCATCCGATTTCCGAGGAATGTCCATATCGTCTGGTCTCAATAGAGAAGCATGGTTCTCATTAGTTTCAACTGACAATGGAGCTCCACCCACAGGAACCACCTGTAAGGGGAATTTGATAATGCGAATTATGATAAGTTTGGTTGGTCAGTAAATGGTCAAATGCAGAGCATCGATACAGAACCTCATTGAATAAAATTTGGATTATTTGCATTAAATGAGTGATAAGAACTAGGTGAATGAATCTATATTTAGTTACCTGATCCATTGCGGAAGCAACAGCTTCATGAATACTCCTCTTTTTCTGCTGTCCCATTCCAAATGAGTGTTCCTCTTTTCTCTTTCCATCATCCACGAAGTTTTGATCTGAACCCTCTGCATACAATGTCAAAATGAAGGTGGGTCAGTACATGGAAATCAAAACAACTCACTGTGTATCAATCTAATGTTAAATATTTAAAATTGATCATGAAGGAAATTTGAGAATCACAAATTGATAACTAACCCCTAAAGATATGGATGTCACATAATTCATGTACGAATGAACAATTAAGGCAAAAATAGAGCATACAAGGTAGACTTGGAAGAGTTAAAAAATACCTCAAGATTAATGAGCATTTTCTACAATATTATCCACATCCACAATGTCTAGTGTTACCATTACATAAAAACATAGCGATAGTTTGATCCAACTCAAAAATATACATTGTATATAAGCCTTTTTAGAGATTCATTCTTTGCAATGCAAATTGATCAAGATGGTCTTCCTCTCTTTCTTGCTACACCAGCTTATTACCCTCCGCAAAATCTAATATGGTCTCAAATCCATAACAATCTATAAGATTCATCTGCTGCTGTCTTGTAGTTCATCTCATACTGCCTGGTAATTCATTGTCCATAACTGCTCACAAATCTCCAATGTGTGAAGGCTAATAATTGGATTGCGTTACTGTTTTACTATCTCTCTCTCTCTCTCTCTCTCTCTCTCTCTCTCTCTCAGCAAGAGCAACTGTGACACCAAGAACCTACACCACTAAGTCACTGCTGAGCACTTTCCTGACAATATCAACTCTCTTAATAGCGTAGCTCTCAAGCTCTACAACTGGCAGCTTTGGTATGTATAACAAATCTTCTAATGAGCATTAGATCGAATTAGGTGTTTGAGGTGCTACCTTTAACACGTCCTGGAAGGGGTGACTTGTTATCACTATGAAATGGTTAAAAGGATACATATACAATTTTGTCTTTTATCTTGATTTGTCATCACATGGAAGGGTTGTTTGACTTGAACTGAATTGTTGTTTGATTTGAACAATCATTAAAAAAGTTCTTTTTCCTTTGGTCGTCCTTCCTGTTTTGGAGCATGTTTTTGGAAGTTCCAGTCTACCAGTTTTGTTTATATTGTAGATGTTGGCTAAATTAAATTTTGGGACCATATTGTTATAAACTTTCCACAGCTATTGGATACAACTAAATTCAATTTATTTAATTTTTTAATAGAAATTTTATCAATTTTCCTGTCCCATATTATAGCGAATAAGAACACTACAAAGAGCACAATTATCTTTTCCAGTCTTAATGGAAAGAACTACAGTTTGTGATCCTTCTAGATGCGACGCTTTCTTATGGGAAGAAAGTTGTAGGGTTATATTGATGGGTCTATTCCCCAGGCTACTGATGAAGGGGCACAAGAATTAACTTGTGACAGAGAGTTGTATTGCGTCATGGATTATGAATTTGGTTAAACCAAAATTGGGTACAACCTCATATATCAGCCAAGTGCTCTCAAACAAACATTGCTTATCCCCATATACTTAAAAACTAAAGTATGAAGACAAAAGGGGACTTTATCTTTTCAAGATTCATTTTAATACTCTTACAGGCATATGGAATGAGATGAACTCAATGGAGATAGAGTCAACTACGAGGTTGTTGCTAAAGCACAAAATCAGTCTCGTTTGTTCCAGTTTCTTATGGGCTTGCAATCAGAGTTTAAACGCATGAGAGCATCAATGGAGACAGAATCAACTACGAGCTCCTATTCCAGTTTCTTAGAAAATGTAAACTCATGAATTTGTAGTAAGAGCAGTGTAATAGTGTCTCATGAAAGTTAAATCACTTATATTGTAAATTTAACAAAATGGAAATCTCAATAGAAAAGCTTGCATGGAACTTATCACATGAACGTCAATTCAGATCCCCATATGCAGAAATATAACATAGGATTTATAAGTGAGAATTGAAGGTTACCTTTATTGCAGCCCACACGTTTCTGTCGATACATGCCACGATGCCCAGCTGAAATTTTTTCTGAGTTGGCAAGTAATTCATGGGCTTCTCTTCCACAATCAGGTCCTACTGATTGGTTTCGTTCAAGAATGGAAGCACCATTTTCCCTCACCTTGGAAGAAGTTTCTTCCAAAGCCTTGGAAGAGGGCATCGATGCAAAAGGAAAGAACCAATGATTAGAAACCAAAGACTGAGATCTATATCGTGACTTGCCTTGATCCTGATTTTCTCTCAGTTTATCTTTATGCCACCCATCCTTTGCCACAATCTGGAGTTCAATGAAATAAAATTTCAGGACTAAAACAAGGGAAAAAAATCTGTGTAAAGAGAAAATACATCATGGTACCTATTCATATTCTGCATCCATATAAACAGCTTCCTCAACATTCCGACGTTAAGGGCAGACAGTTGGGGACTGTCATTTCTCCACTCAAAATGTGTCAAAACTTTGACAGATTTTGAAGGAGAGAAAAAGCCCAACTGTACCTTGACAACGTCTGATGGTGGAGGTACTATGGTCTACTGCCCCATAAATTAAAAATAGCTCACAGAAGAACTACTCATGCTACTAATAGGAACTATCATTGTTTCCGTTTATTACAAAACTACAAGAAATATCCATACTGGTGTAATTGGAAGCTGGAGTTTGGCCTTTGGCTGATCAGGGTTTCTGTTCGGCAGTTTTTGTCTCCTTGACTGTCGACCACCCAAATCCAAGGGACAATACTCTTCCTCATATAATTGTTTAACGAACAATGCCTCTATTGAGTTAAGATATGAACTGTGTTTCTCATTTGTCCATTCCGCAGAACTAGAAGTAACCATCTGAAGTAATTAGCACAAGAACAAGTCAGTTTCAACAAGAATAAAAAAATGAATTCAAGAAACAAAAAATGAGACCTGTAACAATGCTCAAGTTGCAGAACCAAATAATATCCTAAAAGTTAAATGGTTGAAGAACTTAAAAATAGACAGCCAACGATTCTGTTTTGCTCTTTCCATCATTTCTCAGAGAAATGTAAGTTCAGATTTGACAGATTTACCGATTACCTACAATTAGAAACATATAATGATGCAATGAACTTGATAGGACATGTAGATAGATACCATCATGGGCCAATTTTTTGACAAATAATAATTCCGTTATACTACAGGAAAGTTACAATAGTTTCCAGACATTAGACAGCTTCACTCTTAAAGCAGCATGAACTCTCTATGCTGCAGAGATTTCCTAATTCCATGTGATGTCTCATGAAAGGACTGAGAACAACAGGCCCATGATCAAATAAGCCACTCTCTCACTTTTGAGCCTTCTTATCGCATTCAAAGAATAAGCTTTGATAGGACATCCCAAAAATAGCACAAAAGATATGAATTTCCTACCTAGCAATTGACCAATGTCCAACTCCATAGTTGTAGAAACTATGTAACCCTAGATGGCCTAACCATAGTTATTTATAGAAACTGCATTACACCGTATGGCTTCAATATGTTCGTTCTAAGGTTAAACGCACTCTGAACCTTTAAAACAAGGCAAGTGAAGGAGAATTAGGGAGCCAAACTTTATCCATGCTGATTTAACCAAGACACAACAATTGATAACCTTGGACCACCACTTACAAAGTGGAATCACCTAGAAAATACCCACATTCCACTACCTTTCACGCATTTCCAATGGAGCACATAAATGCATAAAGCTTTAGTCAAAAATCCAATATTATACTTATGATGACAGCCAATTCTTAAAGATGAGGGCAACACCGAGGAGCATATTGAACTGTATCAAATCGTCTATGCAAATATTCTATGTGAGTCCTCTCTTCTAAAATACAATATAAGAAGCCATTTCCCTTTAGAAAAAGATCCACAGACACATAAAGAATTCCTCCTAAAACCCAAGGCAACAAAAACATGCTTTGCAAGCTAATATAGGATCTAAACATAACTCATGGATAAGTAGAATGTCAGAGCATTGATGCTACATATATGATTCCTCCTCCATATTATCATAAAGAAATTCATTCTTCAAATCAAACTGATAAGGGTACAAGGGCTCTTACAATTACTCCACGGGGGTATGACCTCATGTTGGAGGGCTCCTACAATTAGTCACGGGGGTATGACCTCATGTTGGAGGAATTTAAGAAAGATGATTGGATTGAAGACTCAGATGTATCTAAATCCAATCAAGACATATTTTCATGTATATGACAGTACTATGCCATAGAGCGGCATTGAGCAGTCTTGCATTTACAAGCACGATAATGATGGAACAAGCAGCAACGGATGAGCTGGCATAGATGGTATTCTTAGAAAATCCCAAGGGAGAATTGCATGATGCCTTTGCTGGTCTGACTATGGGAACTAACAATTATGCCAAGCTTCAGGCAAAACAACTTAGCATCCAATTGCTCAATCCTTGCAAGTGCAGAACTTAGGGTTTGAAGCGGATTTACATCTTGTAACAATATGTGTGCCTGGTAAGGTGACCTCAGGGAGGAAATTTAGGACCATCTCGAGTATTTCTTAACAACATAAGGAGATTGACTCAGATCAGACTCCCTCACACCTACGAAGCGAGCATCAAGGTTGCAGATCTTGCTAGAATTGGAGCTGCTGCTACCTCTGCCCAGATTTGGCACGAACCTCCCAATTTCTTCCAAAAGTTGCTATCTCTTGATTTTCATTCTGCCCACTTCAGATTTGAGAGATTTCTTTGATTTGTTTTAGGGAAATTTATTGGGAAGGGGGGTATTCACTGTTTTCTTTTTTTATTCACTCTTTTTAGCTACTCTTTTTTAAGTACACTATATTTTCTACCTCATCAAGACCTTTGGTCTGGACGTCAAGTAACATATTCTTCACGGTAATACAACAAGGCATGTCCCAGCAAAACCCAGGCTTGTGCACCCAAGGAAAAAGCAGTGTTTCTTGCCTATTTTCACCATGGACTGCTTTGGAGGCCCAAAGGTGATTGTGTTGTAGCTATTGTTCATTGAACTTCAGGTTACGGACTATGTTTCTGGATCATTGCTTATTCATTGTGAAATCATTCAACTAATGCTATGATTAAGGGCCAAGATTTTACTCCAAGTCAAAACACAAGAAGCCACATATTCATTGGATCAAGAATGCAACAAGGGAATGCATTGTAATTGGCCATCTTCAGACTGGCAAGATTATAGTCGGTCCTCTCACTAAAGCTTTAGAGTTTACCTGGTTAGGAGGTATGTTCAAGCCCTGAAGCTCAGCAATTGACCAAGTGAGCTTTACCAAGTGGAAATGGAAGGAAATCGTGGGGGCCTTTAAAATCATTTGATTCAAGTAATCCAAATGCTACATTCTCGTTCTTTTGGCCATCTTTTAGGCCATCATAATAAATTCATCTTTATTACATGTTTTCATATGTATCGTCTACCGATTGTTCCAAATAGCACGTATCAAATATTGCAATATTGAGAATGCCATAGAGATTAACTACTGAGTGTTGAATTAACAGCTGGGATGTTGTGGTGTCATCTTCCCACAATTTATGCATGAAGTATCCAGACACCCTTAATTATCCATGGAGGCACATGTGAATCCATTCCTATGAGTTTAGGACTCAATTGAATGACATGTACAACTCACCTAAGCTGCCAGATGTGACCACTGGCGTAAATGTGAATTGATCTTATAAGAGCACTCTGCAAGTGTACTTAACGGGTGCATGCAATTCCTGCCATTGATGTTGAATGTGGTTATTTGGTTTAGCTTTAGGTCTTTAGATCTAGGTGCTAAGAAGTAAGGATGAGCTATTTCTTAGATTCTATGAGAGAGTATACAGGTCACTTAGCATGCCAGTCACAAGAGCTGGGTTATGGCAAGTTTGGACCAACATTTCAAAACTCACACTTGGGTCACTTGTAGGTTCCCGAGCCAAAGGCTAGAAGACGCGACTCAGAGAGTCTCAAATAAGACATGGTGGAGTCTCTGGCTCATAAGGCCTTAGGTGAGTTAAATCGGGTAACTACCAAGTCAACTCATTTACTTCTTAAAACACTGCTTGGGATGGAAAGGTATGCTAAATTGTGATTAGAGCAGGTCATCACGGTACACCTGCTTCGATAATTAATGTGAACGTCTGAAGTGGGCAACTGGTACTTATTTGTACAAGTAAGCAAGCATAAACAAAATCATGAGGAAAGAGAGGGTAATGTGACACGGGAGAGTGGCAAGATCGTCCATTGATGACCCACAGCCCACTCCTACATAATCAAGGAACAGATATGGCCCCATCACAGACAAAAAAAATAAATAAATAAAGATATTTTATCAATGTGAGTAATTCCATACATTGACGATTCGTAGGTCAGATTCCCACTCTCTCACTTTCTATGCATATGATTTCTAGGGCATACCTTCTTTAACACCAATCAAAACAATATGATTTCAGTTTGATCCACTGATTTCAGATACAGTTCTCAAGGAAACCCTAAGGGAATGCCTTACTAATTAACTTAGCAGGCTGTGCTTGGTCACGGAGCATGAGGCCGCAAGCCGGCCTGACCCATTATGTGTGGTCACTCCTCTCTCTCTCTCTCTCTCTCTCTCTCTCTCTCTCTCTCTCTCTCTCTTCTTACTCTTCTCTTCTTACTTCTTACTTCTTACTTACTTACGTTACTTCTTACTTCTTCTTACTT